TGCACTCTCTTGCCAGGCGGCCCAGAATCGCGGGTCGGTGTTGTTGAACCCTTGCTCGTCAAGAGCCTCATCCCAGACACCCGTATTACGATCAGGGTAATCCTCGAGCGCGAATGATTGCGTGAATTTGCGGACGTCGGCCAGAGACTTCACATTGTTCGGGTTGACTGTGAGTTCAGCGAGATAGGAAGCCAAGTTCGAGATGAAGTCTGCGTTCAAGACGATGGTTTCGGAGTTTGACGTAGCTAGCTGCTCCGCGGCGGTAAAGTTGGCATTGTCGACAATGACGGCACCAGCCGCCTTGAAGACCTCAAGGGTCTCCTCAAAGGCATCGGTTTCAGTCCCGGTGGTGTTGTCGGAGAAGAGTTCGATGGCATTACGAGGGATTCCGATGCGAGTTCCTCGCAGACCGTACATATCGCAAGCGGCTGGGTAGTCTGGTATCTCGCCATTGTTGGGTATCGCTGACGTGTAGTTATCGTTGGGGTCTGCGCCGGCGATAGCGTGGAGGATGTAGGCGGCATCCTTGACGGTGCGGGCCATAGGTCCGATGGTATCTTGATGTTCACTAATCGGTATCACCAGGTGCCGGGATGTCAGGCCAACAGTTGGCTTGATGCCGACAAGATTATTACGTTGAGAGGGCGAGACAATGGAACCATCGGTCTGAATAGTGTGAGTAAAGATGGTCTAGTGCACATGAAGCTGTATCACGTACCTCGGTGCCCAGAGCCGCAAGTGCGAGGCCAAGATCTGAGGCCACACCACTACCACTTGAACTTCCACTCGGATCTTGCTGGGGATAGTAGGCAGCATAGACCTGACCTCCGTACGCGGACCACCCGTTGCTCGTATTGTTGCTCCTAAAGTTGGCCCACTGGCTGAGGTTGGTCTTGCCGAGGATAATCGCACCAGCCTCTCGAAGCTTCTTCGCCATGAAGCTATCTTGAGAAACCTTGGCACCTAGCAAGACCCATGAGCCCGCAGTGTTATTCATCTGGTCGGCGGTCGCGATGTTGTTCTTGATGAGGATGGGAATGCCGTGGAGCGGACCCTTAATTGTGCCGTTGGCGCGCGAAGCATCCAGGTCGGCGGCAATTGATAGAGCATCCGGGTTCACCTCGGTCACGACATTGAGTGTACTATTCACTTGATTGATGCGGCCAAGATAGGCATTGACAAGGTCGACACTGGTGAAGAGCCCGTTTTCGAGGCCCTCGGCCAATTCGTCGAGAGTCACATCTATCAGACCGGGAAACGGTACACCCTTGACTACAGTTCAAGTCAGTGAATAGACCGGACTACAGTTGATATGATGGCAAGCTCACCCGTCGTCAAGCAGGTTGCAATGCCAAAGATCTTGAGCCAGATCAGGGCGAGAATAATCACTGGGCGATAGGTTGCCATCGTGCCCAAGTGAGCGAGAGCAAGTCCCGCGATGGTTGGACTTCAGATGGTTGACTTAATCCCGAGGCATGTTCTCCATCATCCAACCTGGGGTTGCTTTCATTATAAACACAACTGTCCAAGCCAAGATATCTCTGCGTGCATGCTTAGCTCGATGCAGAGGTGCATCGCGTAGAGTAGTCTGCCGGCACGGCCCCGGAACCCGGCGAGAGTGATAAGAAACGGCCGGGATCGCGTAGCTTTAGTCAACGCGGTATGATGGTGTATCCAGCCAAGAGAGGCAGCTCATTTTGATAAGAACCCGGGAGCCAAAAGTCATGACGTGTACGGAGAGTGAGATTGGGGTATGGAACCTTTTCTCCCCCTTGTACGCAGTGTTAGTCATACCGGCAGACGTCGATACCCCTCAATTATTGACAAGGCATTCGCTTAAGGTAATGTACCGCAAGATGAAGTGATCAAGCGGTGGTAGCACGGGATGTTGCACCGAGCGGCTGGAGATGCAGCCACAAAACCGGTGAGAAGTGAGGGGCACGGAGGATCCTACGGAAGCACGAGAGAGAAGGGGGAGAGGCGCGGGGAACAGGTGCCGGTCCACCGGTGGGCCGCGGGGGGAAAACCCGCTGCGCTGGTGGAGACTTGGGTCTATGTACGTACCTCCATCAGCTGCCCGGCGTCCTTCCGGCTTATGTCAGCTTACAAGAGGCACCTTCACTCCTCCCGGTTGATCTTCGGCTCTATATCCCTATCTTATCAGCCAGCCCCGACTGGGTACTTCCATTCCCGGCAAGAGGTTTTCCCGCTCGGAACGGCCGAACAGCGAGATGGCTTATGTAAGTGCATTATGTAAGTCGAAGGTCCTCGCTTCGATGCTCAGACGCGCCCTCGTCCCCAAACCTCCCCCCCCCCCCCCCCCCCCCCCCCCCTCCCCTCCCCCCCCCCCCCCCCCCGCGCGCCCCTGCGACAGACTACGTCCCCCCACACCCCCCCCCCCCCCCCGCCCCCCCCCCCCCCCCCCCCCCCCCCCCCCCCCTTTCTCTCTCTTCATGAGGCCATCAGCACGACTCGGACGGTACTGACTTTGGCAAAGCATTCGTCACCTCATGTATCCATCTTCTCGTCATACCCCGATCAAGCCTGTTCCGTAATCTCACGGCATGTGGCCCACGCATCGTATATCCAGAGTCTGACGTTCTGGCTCGCAGGTGCAGCCTGGAAAGTCTATCTTCTGCCTGTCTGTCCATACTGGCTACCGAGTCACGATCAGTCAAGAAATTCGAGAGTCAAGCCTGCAGAATCAACACTTTCTAAAGTTCTGGCCAAGACTGCGAGAGACCAAAAATAGGACCGTGCCAAGAGCCATCTGCAACAGCTCTTCTGCAGGTTATGCAGCATCGTCACATACCCTGCGCCACAGAGTCTCATACCATCGGTTCCTGCATGTTGCGAGTCTCAAAGATCTGCACAAAGATCGCTTACGCAGAAAGCTTCTTTTGCAGCGTGAACCCGAGGAAACGTCCAAGAGTTGACTCTCCGCTATTCAACGGACCAGGCCGCGTTTGCCAAGTTGACACTGCCGAAGCGTACAACGAATGCATGATATCCCCAGCGGACTAAGCAACCTTGCCTGCGGTAACGGCGGAATCTCGCCCAACAGGCTATCAAGGAGACGGCACGGAAATCACAAGGCAAAACGACGTGGAGCTGTCATTGGCTGTGCCATCGTACCTGCATATCCGCCTCAATAACGTCTTGTCTTCTGATACGCCACCTAGGCATGATTCAGTCTGGTCACTTCAGACGATGTTAGCCCTAACTTCTGAATGAGTAACCTGCCCGTTGAGCCGGCAAAGCCAGCGTCCCAGCCCCCTGAACAAGTACCTTGGTTTCCACGACTATCAGCAGGCCCTACGAAGTGAGAGGCGCATGAAACGATACCTGCTGGACGTCCATCCTTGTGGATAACTCCCGACTCTCTGGGAGATCGCCGCTGGGGAAGCAGGCAGCTTGGCAGCCCACCTTACCCGCGCCATTTCATGCACCAGATTCGTCCGCCACTCATATCCACTGGCGGCTGGTCGCCGCTAGACGTCCGTGAGCGACTGCCGCTTTGCCCATCCAAACTGTCAACATTCCTTCGCATGAGGTTGCGCAGAGCACCCGATCTTGTCATCTGAGTGGGCTGTGGTGCACCACGGTTCGCTACGAGATGCTCTTTACCACTGCCGTCTGAAAGGATTCTCCGTCGTTCTCCACGCCAGCTGTCAGGACGTTTCGCTGGCATCCAAGTGAGAGAGCGCCAGTCTTGGCGTACCATAGTACCATATGATATCAAGGACGACATGAAAATCGACGTCGGTTTTGCCTATGTGGCTCGTGATGCAAGATTGCATCGTATTGCGTTTGCTGAAAACTTTGCTGCAGAGCCGCGGACTAGTCTAACTATGCTGACCTTAATTCTCACTTTTCCCCCCTTCTCTCCACAACGTGGATTCTTGGATGAAGGACCAGATCAAGGAGATGAATTACGTTTTTCTCAAGCATGGACCGAGAGGTTGAGTTTCTCGGCAAGCGACGATTTACCTCTCAGCCTGCATGTAAACCAACCACGGGCCACGCACTAGACCGTCAGGCTTTCAAAACACTCTCGAAATGAAGCTAACACAAACTCGCTGAACTATCGTCAGAATCCAGGGAATCGCAAGAGGGCAAGGTTCCCGAAGCTTCCAGCCTGCATTCGGGCGAAGTCGAACCGCCGATGTGGTCGCGAGGGGATGACAGCCAACCCTTGGCTTCCACGACCTGGCCCCCTCGTCCCTTTGGCGCCATAGGTAAGCTTAAGGCCAGGACTCCGCTTGCCGAGAGCGTAGAAGGGCAGAGGGGTACTCCAGGCCAGCCTCCAGGACACACCATCTTAAGAGAGGCGCTGAAACGAATCGACATCGGACGAGTTGGTCTATCTCGCGTCTTCTTGCAGAATTCTGCTCAAGGCTTACATCAGACGAGGAGAGCCTCCACCCACGAAACGCCCCAGCGAAACGTCTCTTCATCCTAGAAAGTTAGGAGAATTAGCGGCGCAGGGAGATGCTTCCCACCCTGAGAGAACTCAAGGCGAGCCAGATGCAAGGTAGTATCCTCCACCCAACGCCGATCCGGCTCTATGCGGTGCGTGGCTCTCGTGAGGTCGGGCACTTGGAGCCGTGAACTCTAGATGTTGTCGACTTGGAGATGCGATTACTAGTTTCAGGCACTCGCGAGTCGCCCTTTCCGTGAATGTTAATCGGAAGTCGCGGCCAATGGATCGACGCCCACCCCTTACGGCTGGCAGAATGGAAGCCATTCCAAGGTTTGGACGAGCATTGCACATCCCTGGGCTCGAGCCTGAATGCACACTCGCTCTTGTTGACTAAACGGAGTATTAAAGAAGAGCTTCATCGCCAACTGCTTTTGCGGAAAGGTCAGGCAGGCTCCTCAGTTTACGCCGATACCCTAACGGCAACCTCAGATACGAGTACTCCCCTCCTATCAAGCGCCAAGCTTGTCTTGGTCACCACCTCCAATCATTTGTTGAGCAAATACCACCATTCACTATAATGAGATTCTTCACGCCAGCCCTCCTGCTCGCCTCGGCCCTCCTCGTCGGCATCAATGGTGCTCCGGCGGGGACCGATGTTGTCCAACGGGACCTAGGGTAAGCATACATTGTGTTCGTCTAGCATGTCTTCCTCAAGAAACTAACAAACAGCAGCGAGCTGGGCGCTCAGGCGGACGTGCCGCAGATTAATGCCCCCGTCGCCGTCGCCGCTGTAGAACAGCCCGAGACCGCGCTAGTCGCGGAAGATGAGCCGCACATCAAGGAGCGTCAGATTCTGAAGAAACTCGCCAAGCTCCTCGGCAAGAAAAAGAAGAAGAAGAAGAAGAAGAAGAAGGCGAAGGCCGCCAAGGCAAAGGCAAAGGCAAAGGCGAAGGTCAACACTCCACCTCCGGCCAAGGCGGCACCGCCTCCGGCCAAGGTCACTCCGCCGACTCCGCCTGCCGCCCAGCCTCCCGCCGCCGCCCCTCCCGCTGCTACTCCGTCCAAACCACCCGCTGGCGCGCCCAAACCACCTGCTGCGAATCCCAAGAAGGCCGGCGCCGCCGCTGGAGCCGGAGCTGCAGCGGCTGGAGGAAATGCTGCTGGAGGAAATGCTGCTGGAGCTGCCAAAGGTAATCCAAACCAAGGTGCTAAACCCGTCCCACCTGCTCCTGTTCCCGCCGGCGCAATTGCGGCCGGTTCAAAACCCAAGCCTCCGGCTGGAGGAACGCCCAAGGCGGGCGGTAACACAAACACAAACAACCCGAAGGATCCAGCCCCTGCCCCTGCTGGAGCTCTCATGGCTGGCGCTCTCGCCGGAGGTGCGACAAATGGGAATAAGCCTGGTGCTGCCCCTCAGACACCTCCCAAGCCGCAAGCCCCTCCTCCTCCTCCCCAGCAGCCTCAGACGCCTCAGAATCCCGCACCGCAGACACCACAGAACCCTCAAAAGCCCCAAACACCGCCCCCTAAGCCTGGTGGAAGTGGTGGTTTACCCCTTGCCGTTCCTGGTAGGAACTCTGTATGAGCTTGTGTTGACGAAATGGTTTTTGCGCAGTTTGAGTCAGCAATCGTTCGGAGATAGCGAACACACGGGACAAATTACAAGCGACAAGACACTCATTTTCATGCCTCGTGGGTAAACTAAAACTCCATAATTCAATAACTATATTCGGTGGAACATATTGGTGAGAAAGTCTTGGGCATGTCACTCGGTGAGACTACAAAGGCTTTGGCTTGGCTGGGAAATCCGAGTGTGTGTACATAGGGATGACAAAGACACGAATGATGACTGGACAACAAGTCGGGTTCTATACCGAAAGTGCTCCCATTGTGTGACAGGCATGATCCTCTGATATTCTGTGCGGTGCCTGGTGAGTTGCGCCTAGCTGAAGTTTATTGCTCTGATGCAAAGTTACGGCCATTAGAGTAGTTTCAGCTCGCCAATAAGGCACGGTTACAAAGTTTATTCATGACGCAGGTGTGTCGATGGCGACGAGTCTGCCCACAGTGAACTTCGCAATGGCGAATGCGACCGTCAAGAGTGGTGCTTTTTAGTCTTCCGATACCGTTTGAGATGGTCACGCTCGATCCTGGAGCTTGGGCAGCATCTCTCCCTCATGCCAATCATCCCCTTCGTATCACCCGTTCGGTACCATTCAGTGGCCAAACTTATTGTCAGAGTTGGCCCTGCATAGAGCAAGCAGGCAAGCTCTCTTATCGGGGAGGACGAGGGGAATTTGAAGTGACTGGGCAGATACTTCCATCGACGGTTCGCACTATCAAGCGGCCTTCGGAGATTCGAGATGCTCGGAGTTCTGCTACTTTCATCAAGCATAATGGTGTCCGCGCTTACTTCCCAAGGATGCCGCGGATGATCATCTGAACTTGAAGATCACAGGTGAAGCTGTAGCCCCTTTCCAACTGGCAATTCATCTTACTTCCTCCTTGAAAGCTGGTTCGTAGATGACTACATCCACAGTCAGTCTGGATGTTTATCGAGGGGCGACTTCAGCGGAAGTTTGCCTAGTTCAGTTTGACCAAAAACGCCGCTCCTCCCCGAGGAGCTTTGCTACTGTTGAAGTAGGCCATAGCTGGGTACCTACACCTGGTGAAGTCAGCGAAGAATATTGTGAAATATTTCGATTACAATACAGGCACTGGGGCATGCTACCAAGGGATGAGAAAGGAGATAACTTGCGCATAACAAACAGCGATTGAATGTTGCAAAAGTCAGCTTATACGCAATGAAACTAGTTGTCGGAAGGACTCACACACATAATCTTCCGTCGAATTATTGTTCACCTTAGTAGATTATCCTGTGAGTTTACATGATAAGAAGAAATGTAGGCCTAGGGCTGACGACACTATCCTAAGCACCGCAGCGCAGACGGATGGCAGTGTGATAAATACGTGTTGTTATGATGACCGAATGCGTCTATCTGGCAAGTATTTTCGTTAATTGAGGGATATCAAGTCATGCAGGGCTCATCCCATTTGTTTGGCCATACGCAAACAACGTAGTGACAATCTAGGTGGTGCTCCCTCTCATGCCCATAGTCCCTGCCGCGAAGTCGTTACTCGAGCCGTTTGTATTACGTGTATCAACTAACCGGACAATCTTGCTGACCATGCACCTATATGAGCACTATATGTTGGTAACTGAAGCTGTTTACGAACCATGACTGGCGTTTAGGATACGATTTCGTGACTGCGAGTTCTCCAGCCATCACGAGCGAGTAGCTAGAAAATATCTTTCGACCAACCCCTTTTGTATTAATCTCGTTCCTAGGTGCATGATTTGAGAGAGAGAGTCTGATAAGTAGCTGATGATCCCTGCTATGGCCAAAGTCCTATTGGGACCTTCTGATGCTGATCGAATATCCTGAGAGCAAAAACCGGACACTGATCTTGAACGTACGCGAAAGGATGGAAATTCCCGAAAAACCCAGTAAGGGATGGAATGGGTCTTAGAATCACAGGCCTTTTGTTCTATCAAAGCCTAGTGCTGCGTCGTGAAACCTCGTAGAGAAAGATAATCCTTCTGCGACCCTTGCCAAGTAAGTACGACGTGTCAATTGTGCTGGGAAGAGACTACTGAGCTCAAACCGGCGAAAGAACTCAGCAGCATTGTTGAAGACATACTTGTTCGAAATCTAATGGAAAGCATAAGAGGATCGCAACCCTTGAATTCGTTGAGAACAGCATAACACTGTCGTATACTACTCTGACACTCAATGCGGTCTCGATATTATGCAGCTTTCTACCGCATAGTGTCTTTTTGAGGATCTTCATTTTCCTGCTGGAAAAGCTTTGGATCGTACAACTTCCCGGTTCACCAGCTTCAGGGAGTCCAAGATGCTTCCACCCGGTAGTCCAGGCCGTAAGATCCTCAGATTTCTCTTCGGCATCAACGATAGGATCTACAATCTCATGTGGTTCCATGACAAAGGCATGCCAACGGAACATGTCGACCATACTCTGGTTACGATTATGTTGGGTGACGAAAGCGGAGCAGGAGGCCATCAGCCTCAGATAGAACCATACGACGACCTCAACGCGCGAGCCATGAGCTTTCATCTCAACGATATGCTTGGAACACCAGATCAAGTCGAGATGTACAAGGAATACCTGTCTAATAGCACTCCTCGTTTCTCGTTCTGGTATCAACTTCGGCCAGGGGCAAACCTTCCACATTTCAAGCCTCCCTTGGAGTACAAGCGGGACGCAATCACCGGACAAGAAAGCCGGGACAAGCACACACAACGTGAAGTTGACAAGGTAAAGTGGGACAAGATGGCCGACCATGACCCGCGGCCTATTGTAACACGTTCTTTGACGGAGTCTGAGCGAAAGGCCAAGAGACAGAAGTTGGCTAAGAGACGAGGCACAAACCCTGACATCACTCATCTCATCGTCACCCGCGCTGAGGAACATGCAGCGTCGTCGGTTTGCAACAGTACAACGTCTTACGGCCACGATATTGTATCCCTTTACGAGAAAACTTACTGCGATATAACCGTTAAGAGACTCCACAACCTTTGTGACAACATTTTGAAGGAGAACTGTTTTGACGTGCAACGAAGGACTCTGATAGGACATGGTGGAATCAATGCTCATGGCGAAATATCTGCGGTCGGTATTTCTCAGAAGCGATATAAAACGGCAGCCCACTGGGAAGAATGATCTCAACTCTCTTCGGAAGCTATGAAAGCGATCTGAGTCCCCAGAGTGTTGTAGATTTTCACGGGTTTATTCTACTGCTTTCGTTAGAACTTGAACCTAAGCTATGGATGTTTCCTCTGTGTTGTACAAAAGCAGAATCGTGGTTGCCAGCGAGAAATTACGCCTTATTTACCACACTCTGATAAAGACTCCTGCCGAATGAGTTCCTGGGGGTTTAAGGGCGTAAGACTTAAGAGTTGCTTTACTAGAACTAGAAACATCATCACCCCTCATTCAATGGGCTTTTGTCACGAGAAACGCCGAGGAATCAAATCGCTGAGTAGTTTATTTTCAAGCTCATCGATTCAGCTGCCTATCAATTGCCTATTTGGATATGTACTATTTAGAACGGTGTGCGCTGCATACATCGCTGAAGAAATAGTGCCTACGAGGAAGGCTTGGTGTTCTGAGTCAACCTCCTCAGAGATGCGATCTGGCCGTGACAAAATCCCACAGCCTGTTGCTTAATGCTATCCTCATGGTGTTGCTCAACTCGTCTGGCCCCAGATACCCAGGTGACGATTGTCTCCTCAGGACCGGAAGGATGAAGCTGTACGGCTGCAAGGACTTCCATTGCCGGACTCGGGCTCGGCTCAAGCACTTCGTACTGCAGCTTGAAGGCGTTGTGGTCGCACACGACGATGCGCTCATCAAAGTAGGTCTCACCAAAGTAGACGCGGCGGACGGCGCCCTGGCCGTATCCTTCCAGGACTGCGGATCGGGTGCAGCCCGGGATCAGGATCCGCTCAGCTCCGATCGCTGAGAGAAACGGCCAAATTTCGTTGGCAGGAGCATTGATTGTTTCTGTAACTGAGGCCAGGACGATCCTCCCATCTAAGTCTTCGATTGACATCTTCCGTCTTAATACCCCGATATCAGTAGCCGTAACTAATGGCAGAATATTTGCACAATAACTGAGTATATGCACATACCTAAAGTAGGAGGGTTCTTATCCTACTAGAGTAGGGTGTATTTTTCTTCGCAAATCAATGATTTGTGCCTATAGCTTACTTATTTATTCGCATCTTTCTCGCCGAAATGGTTCTGGATTAAATATGATTCTTGGTTTCCTTGACGCAACGATATTCGACCGTCAAACGGACGAAAGATGGAAATTTGTAAGCTCTAGAAGCCCTGTGTGTGCGGAGTCTATACGCGTTTCGGCCTCCTCAACGTACTATACTCCGAAAGCGAAAGCGAGAATCCACGTCAAAATGGCTTCGCTCTGAAATCTCAGTCGAGAGGATCCGTGTTTTTCTTTGCAAAGAACTCAGGAATCAGGTTTGGTATAGGTAGTTATCGGCATGGGCAAATTCTTGAACATCCTGCATGTAGTAGTGTTGTCGTCTACATACCTTAGCCTTCGGCCACTACCGTTATGAATGCAACGGACTGTGAGCACGGAGCGCGATGCAACAATCCCAAAGAGAACGCAAAGATGGTCTCTGAGAAGAGAAACGGTGCTATGATGTTTGGGGCTTCCGGTATCGTGAGCCTCCCAAGTTGCACATTCATTGGCTTTTTCTCCATACTCAAAATTCTAGCCCAGCTGGGTTTTGATGCTCTAGTGTCTTATCTACCTTACCCATCAACAGTCGCCTTCAGTCAATTCATAGGCATAAGCAAGAGGCCTATGGGCAGGAAAACGGCACGGTTAGAGGACGATCCGAGACTGAAGATACATACCGGACTCGATCTTACCGATGCTGACTTGACGTTGCAGAGACCAAAGGCTACCCCAGAGGTTGTGGTGTTGCATTCATACGTTACTGGTAGGTACAATTTCATTTGCTTGATTATCAAAGCACATCGCATCCAAATGGATTGGCCAAAAGACTTCTTGCAGCGTACACGGGCCATGAAAGTGATCTAGAAAACCCAGTCAAGATCAACGCTGCGATCATCGACAACGGCCTGGCAGCCGTCAAGCATCTATGCCCGAACCTCGAAATTGTTTCCCTACAGACGGGCGGAAAGGTGAGTGAAACTCCGGCTGCGAAAATTAAGTTTCACTAAAGGCTTCTTCCCTAGGGGTACGGAATTGTAGGATTCGGCTGGCCTCCCGGACCGTGGAAGGAAGACCTAGCCCGCTTGCCAGAACCGTACGCGTCCAAGATTTTCTAGTTCGCCCAGTGCGATGTGTAAGTAGAGACGCCGCTAACAGTTTGTGGAAATGGGTCGAAGTCAGGCCGTCCTTTCTGGTGAACTTTTCGACAATAGTCGCGCCTCCTCAACTCCCTCGTATCAGCCACATCTGATAAGGCCTACTCTACAGCCTGAATTTGTCCCCCAGTCTAACGTCATAAACGTGGTACAGAGCTTGGGGCTGTATCACTCATTCTATCTTTCTACGTATGGTGACGGAGCGTCCTGTCCCTTTCCAGGAACCTAAGAGTCCTGGACGGCACTGCACACCGACTCTTTTCAAGACCGGTAACCCGTTTCCATATTCACGTATCCTTGCACTCGTAGGAGACTCATGAGCGGCCATTAAATATCGAAGATGGCGATTCTGTTTCGTGGGAGATGAAGTGGCGATCTATTTGCAGCTATTTTGGCCTCAATGGAATCGGGCTACCAGAGCAGCTCACCAGCCAGACATTTGGCATCAACTGTCTCATTGCTCGGAAAGACAAGTAGCCAGACTGGGTCATCACGAATGGTCTTGAACGGAGCGCCCTCGTAAACGTTGATTAGGATATACTGACTGTCATTTTAACCTCGCCGATTCCTATCGACTATGACCTGACGGCATCTCGAGACATTGGGTTCACTGAGAGTTTAGAGCCGGGGAGAGGCTACATCCTAGCTTTTGATCGACTTGTAGAAGCAAAATTTCTGCCGCGTTACTGACAAATTGAAACTCAGCTCGACTTGCTGGCCAGGGTGCAGAGATTCTTTCAGCCTCAAGTATTGTCAAAAAGTCCAGGGAAGCGGATCCAGAACCCTACCGTCTTCAAGTGAGCTCATTATAACGGGCGATCAGTAGACCGATATAGGCATAGATTAGTTTACATTGTTAAATATTTTCACATCCTAGAGTTTCAAGACAGCCAATTCTGCGAAGCCGCGAGTTGGTGCTTGGTTCATGGCTGACCTATATGGCACAAGAGAACGCGGGAGGGTACTTGGTGATGGCAAGAGGGTTGCTGCACCCTAGATGTAAGACAGAACTCAGTGGGAAGCAAAAAGGTGCATATATGGATCCGCCTCAACAAGGGAATTGTAATCTACTACTAGCTTGATTGTGGCTAGGCTGGTGTTGAGGATTGACTTTCATAGAATCGAGCAGAACTGAACAAGCCGTAACTTATAGCCTAAGTGAATAAGATATAGATGGAGGAACTTAGCTTATGAGAAGGAGTCTCGAGAAGGTGTCGAATGCTCCTTGGTTGATCAAGGCTCGGATAGGCTGTGGTGCGTTATGCTCCAATAAGCAATTTTCGCCTAGTTTCTAGACGGTTCAAGCCCCCTCAGCCCATGTGTCCTTCCTTCCTATAAAGCGAATAGCCTACGCTTAGTCGTGGATTCGCATTGTTACCGTCATTGCATAAGCTAATATCGATCAAGTTGCTGAACGTAATCAAAAGCAATGATATGGCTTCCATTCGGCGATGACATCCGTGAGGATAGGGCGGCAGGGCTGCTTGTCGAAAATCCCTCCTCCGTCCGCCGTGACTTATCAGTTTCGAAACATTTTGGATCCAGAATCGAAGAAAGAAGAGCCTTAGTATGCTCTAACTCATGTCCCAGAGCCTTCTGGTTTCTAGAGCAAAATTATTTCACTTAACCTGGTAACATTTTTTAGTGCCCCGCCACGTAGACTCAACTTCTAAACAAAGCCTCCGGTGAACGAGAGTCATTTGAGTCCTTTTCCAGGGAACCAGGCTCAACCACTCTGCCTCGTATCCACACAAACGGGTGTAAATCGACATGAACGATAAGAATGCTCGGCACTCTATCCAGCACAGAATCAGTAATTGCATGCGCTTAGGTGTTTCCTTTCGCACAAAGCAGCAGATTGTGATCAATCACAGTGCGCTGGATTGTATACCATAGAGTAACTATCTTACCTTGCGTGTCAACGAGTTCAAGTTCCATACGCCAATCAAGGTTGTAAAGACCATGAATCGAACTTGAAGCTTGAAGCAGGGTTCCCCTAGATCAATAGGCTTGAGCCGAGGGCCCGCACCCACGGGATCCTCAATCAATTACCATGAACTATCGGAAGATGCTTTTGAGTCGGCGGATATAAGCCAAATATAACATGTAGGTTCTGACTGACAAAAAAGTCTCGGTCATCGTCGACCTGGCGATCACCAAGATAACTTTCTTTGGCCTTTGCTTGGCGCTAGTAACGGACTGCAGATTTGCATCTTCACTTGCATCTGCCAAATTATGAGAGAGAGCACATTGCCATCCAATTCTCCATGTCAGATGGCCTGCAAGTCCTAGCCCGTTTCTCCAGTACTTTGACGTGAGCTGTCTAATCCATCAAACTATGCATATACCAATGGGCAAAGAGCCGAGAGCCCACGTGAAGACGGGTTCTGGTACTCACTTGCCGATCATTGGCGCAATTCTTTGCTCCATCGGGAAAGCAATGCGGCGTCTTGGGCATGAAGTACGGACCACCGAGGCCAGGCGTTCGAGCACCATATTAGATTCCAACTGGGATGCACGCTGTACGCTTGAAGGTTTCAGCAGAAACACCAGACGACTTGTTACAGGAAGGACCGCCTCAGAGGAACTCTGTCTTCACAGGCAACCAGAGAGATCGAGATAAGTGACAGGCCATCCTAGTCAAATTGTTGATCATTGAGAGTGGCCGGTGGCAATTCATCAGGGCAAAATGACGATACCCAGTCCTGAGGCGGAACTTTCGCCCGATGAAATAGCCGAATTGATGGAAAGAAAGACAGGCTTGTGAATTAGGGTGTTCGTAGGCCCGCCCCATCAAAATATGATGAGTCGCTCTGGCTTAAGTATTGATCGCTCAATGACTATTGTTTGTGTTTCTGAGGTCTACATGTACGCACCGTGACAGGTGGAGGCCGCTCTCTCAAATGCAGACGCTGACGAGAACCGTTCTGGCGCGGTTGATGGTTCGTGTATGTCTAGAACGCCTCGCTCAAAAATGCATCTCAACGTCCCTCGTGGTCATACCCCAATAATAATCGGTAAGAAGAATAGGCTTTAGGCTTTTTGCCGGTCTGGATGATCTTGTACACCAACCTTTGACCTCCTCTTCTCTCTCTGAGCCCGCCACTTGGGCCCCCAGAATTGATTGACAACCTGAATGGGAGACACAGCTATGACCGCCATGCCGAGGACAAGGAACGCGGTGCCAGGGCCAACGGCGTTGAGCATCTGCTCTGCGAATGCCACACCGAGAGCTGCCAGCCCGCAGCGGACCACATTATTGATGGCTGTGGCACTCGCGCCCTCACCGGGACAAAGATCCGAAATGATGGTCTGGTTCAGCGCAAAGATGGCGTTCGCCGATGCGGCAATAAGAAATTGCATTGTCAAGGGCAACGCAATCCATCCCGGTCGGGATATTGCATTGGGATACGCCAAAGAAAAACCGTAGCCGACGATAGAGGCAACGAATAGGAAGACTATCCACGGGAGGCGTCTCAGACGGGCCTGCTCCAAAGGGAAATCCGGCGCAATATCTTTGGGTGACAGTTCCTCGTCGTAAGGGATGTTGTGGGTTTCCTTGTATTTGGTCTCAACGGCTTTGTAGTCTCGAGTCAGAAGTTTGCCCGCAAACACGGAGCCGACAATGGTTCCAATTCCTACCCCCACAGGTCAGTCACGTCCGAGCAGTCCCGCTTCCATCGGAGTTCAAGCCATCCAATCAGTGTTTGATGTTCGGAAGGAGTAGGTTCTACTGACCATTGGGTATGAATGCTACACCAAGAAGGAGTTCGTTCAGTCCGAACCGCTCCTTGAACAGTGGAGTTGTGCTGGTCGTTACCATGTTCCAGATGGCATAGATCACACCACCCCAGACGAGGTTGATCACCAAGTCCTTCTCTTTGAAGAGCTTGAACGGCCTCAAAAAGGTCCAAATGGTAATCTTGCGATTCAAAGGTCCATCTGGATCCTCCATATACTTCGGCTCCTTTGTCACATATCTGTAAAGCGGCTTGTAGATGATGCCGTTCAGACGGAGGGATCCATTGCCAGCAATAGTTCTCAAAGTCTCTGGTAGGAATACCATGATAGTGATGAGAATCAGCGACGTGGCGATGAGCAAGAAGACAAACACGGATCGAAAGCCCAAGGAATTGGCGAGAGCACCTCCTAACAGCGGGCCGATCGCTGTGCTGAAATTTCGGACTACAAAGAATTAGATGTCGTTCAAGACCCCAGCGGAGAGTACCACAACTCACTCGCTTGATAGAAGCTGATGTATGCCCCCCTTTCGGCCGTCGGAGAGATATCCTGGATAACACCGTTGCCTGTCACACCAGACACGTTAGCTGCCAAGTTTGGAAACTGAAGAGACGGCTGAGACGGAACACCTACCGATACTGACAGTTGAGGCACTTCCTGCAGCTTGGAGGCCCCGGAAAATGAGTAATACCGCGTAGTTTGGCGAGAAGCTCAACGCGATATTGGCACCAATGTAAACGCCCATGGAAGCGATGTAAGTTGGTCGCCGGCCGAGCGTGTCAGACATGGGGCCCCATAGCAGTGGTGTAACGGCTTGCATGATCAAGTAAGACGTAATTGTGAGTGACACTTGTGATGCGCTAACCTTCAGCTCCTGGATTGTACGTTAGCATCTGCCGGGCGCGTGAATTGTTTTGAAAGAATGACGAATAGTTTCCACTCACCTTTGATATTGCATCCAAGGAAGGGTTGTAAATGTTGGATGATAACCCGGAGAAGAGACCCGCAGAAGCAATAATAACTAGAATAAACCACTTGTGCCTCTTGGTGAAGACCGAAAACGGTTCATCATTACCATCATCGTTGTCGTCGTCTTGCTGACTCCCCATCTCATTGGAATCGTCGAAAGGATTCCGGTCTTGGCCTCCACGTCCCTCGTCATACTGATTGTACTGGGAGTCTTCAAACGACTTGGTGCGGAGCTCTCCAGTGCTGCTATC